CATATTTATATGTATCTTGTATATAAACTGGTGCTCCCCATCATTCCCCAATATGCTTGAAAACGGTATAAGAAGCTAGACCGGAACGTCGCTATTATGAAAATAAAGAAGTTGATCATAAATAAAGTTTTGTCACCTCGAGGTATATTATACCTACAACATTACTGGCTAAAAGTGACAGAAACGGACATTATCCATCTAAACTGTTACTGCATTTGAAATAAGCTAGAAAATATGCTTTGTTCGATTTCCAAAACTCAGTCAAGCATACTGTAAAAAGAGCATGTGAATGCATTCCCATTTTTGGTAGATATTATCAGCACACATGAACATCGCGAACCATTGAATAAATCATTTGTAAAAGTTTGCTTTATTTCTTCACATAATGACAGTCCTTAGGAAGAGCCAGGAATGTGTTCTCGAATAGGTCCTACTTCTTGCAAATTTCGTGCAGGAACAACAACTGCTTGTTTCTTCGACCATTTAAACACCTTTCTCAGGTTCAAATCAAGACGTTCATTCACAGGATTTTCAATGAAAATATTCCACATGGCAATAACTTCACTTCTGTATACTTTTGGAAGTTTGATATGTCACACATCGGTCACAGGTGGAGAATTCACCATTTTCTACTTTTACGGGACCCCGGATGATTTAGGTCCATAACGAAGCAGTATAATCCGTAATAGCATATATTAAATGACGCAGCATGTATATTTTCCAGGTTATTTGTCAAGGTTGCTGGACAAGGATATGACGTTCTTCTGTGCTGGGGGTTCTTTCATTGCCACAATGGTGTTAATGCTCACAGTGGTCATGCGACAACAGCTATCTTGCCGAGCCAAGCACCAGTCATTCAGTGTCAGGGTTGTGGGAATCAACAACGACGGTTTCCATCGAAGCAGCCCTGATGAAGCAGCTTAGTAATCACCACCTCCCAGTTGTGTTGTTGGTGGTGGGTTTGTTGTTGTTGTTGTAACGTTGTAGTTGTTGTAACGTTGTTATTGTTGTTGTTTTTCAACGCCGCACTCAGCAACATTCTAGCTATACGTAGACGGTGTCTAAATAATCGATTCTGGACTTGTATATCCAGTAATTGACATGATAAGCATTAATCTACAACTCTTGACATGCATCAATTAAATGAGTGACCCGATTATGTTAAACGCCTCTATGTTCTATGACATTCATGGGTTGCTGAAGACTAAACTGGAATCTTCACGGGTAATATTAATGCTGTTTAGAATCAGTAATGAAACTGTGATGATATGTTTGATGTTTAACTTGTTTTAAACTTGTTTGTCATTGCACTTGTATGAAATAAAACAAAAGTTGCCAAACTTGCATTAACTCAGTCGACTCGAGTTATAAAATTCAAACGGTTGTATTACCTATCTCATTATAGCATAAATTGTCATTTCCTACATCACGAAATACAGAAAGGAAGAGTAGCACGGCTCCTTGGCGCGACCTTGTCTTAGAATATTACAGTGGAATAGATTATTCTGCCATCCACATACACGAGTAACCGCCAGTTAATCTCTCACATGACATGTCATCAACATCTGAAAGGACATGAGTGTGTTAGTCAGCCCAAAAGACATCCGGTTCCACTGTAATATTCATTCCAGTGTAATAAATGATGATTTGTGTTTTGTGTCGGGATCCATTGGTATTTGCCAAAATCCACAATCCAAAACTGTGATTATCTGACCGTTTCTCTAATAATGTCCAGCCCCTTCTTCAAAACAAGGCAGGTTAAATGTGAGGCCTGGGTAATGCTGCTCTATTTCCGGACATCATGAATTGATAATCACCCGATTTCATCTTGACTAAGGCAAGAGAAGCAGGAGTGACAGTATTCAATTATACCAAGCATGTCATGTAACTGTCATGGATTCTGTCTAAACATGGCATGGGTGCAGCATCCCCCGTTTCTATCCTGTGGTTGTGTAAGATTTGTAAGTTTTCAGCAAAGACATCTCTGTTGACTTGAAGAAAAGATTTCAGTTAGTGATTTTGTAGAGATTTGAGATCAAAATGGCAAAGATCGAAGTCAATAAGTTTGGCGGGTTTACCTTGGACTCTGTTGCTACTGGAGATAGACATGATACTAATCTTCCTATTGCAAAAAGTGACTGGAACTGACATCCACTTTACTAACTGTTAAAACAAATGGTTCGAAGGCCATGGTCTACATTTACTTTGGAATGTTCAAGAAAGTTCATTCCTGAGACAAGTGAACAAAGCAACTTTGTAAATGAAGTGTTTTGTGACCTATTAAAACATAAATGTGTATAATGCCAAAATTGCGTTGCCTTTCACATGTTTTTCTACCACTTCCTGAATGGGGAACTTGTTTCATTGTGAATCAGATAATCTGACTAATGCAACTGATGGACATGTGTTTTGGGTAACAAACTGTACGAGTATGATATTATTATGTAACGTTGCAATCGTAGATATACTCTGTTGAATAAGCCTGACATTGCCAGTAACAAAGTACAAGTGTCAGGCAAGACTCCCTTGGAAGTATATGAGGGGTTGCTTGGGGAGGATTATGGGGATCTCTATTTGCGAGGACATTAGACACAACCGGACAGTCTAGTTGTTACACTTTTGACAAAATGAAAGAAATCCTGCACAGTAGACCCCATTACAATACTCACCACAGTGCTATGTGAGTGTGCAGCTCTGTTGCTGCTCTGCTGCTCCAGTACTGTGTCCCATTCTGACGTTTTGGTTTGTACTGTTGGTGTAACAGGGGTATCACGTCACAATTGAGTACAGACTGGTAAAAGGTTCAGGGATTTATTGTCTGAGATGATGTGAGGATCCCCAACCCTGGATATGGTGATAAAACCCTTGAAACAAAACAAACATATCTCAAATTACTGGTGTACAGCAACAGGTATATAGCAATCATATTATTACATATCTGTACACCACAAGAGTTACTCAATCTAAGTATATATATACATAAGCGTATATTACAAATAACAGTCATACAGATGAAAATCTGATATGTAAGGTAACATTAAGAACATAACCTATGCAATTTCTTGACACACAAATACTAACCTCGTCTCAGGGACGCAGGTACTCCACAGTGAAAACCACCAGTGGGAAAAAAGTGGATCTAAGACCTCATAATTTAAAAACACAATTAAATGCAATACATATTATACATGCACGCACACACTTTATATATGTACCTAATATATACACTATAGTCTACATTAACGAAACATGTAAAGATCATAATACATAACTGTATACCATGATATTATGTAAAATATTAACATCATATACTATGTTTCAGATATATAATTAAAATGATTACCTAGACTAAAACATCATATCCTAACCTCCTTATAATAATATACATACAAAGCCATCTAAAGTAACTTTCCCCAATAAGTGCAGTGCTCTGATATAGCAGTCAGAGTTGAAAATGTAGCAGTCAGAGTTTAAAAGTCAGCAGTGACCAGAAAAAAAGAATGTTGGAGTACATGAAACTCCAGATCTGGTCACATGCTCTAGAAACAATAGCAATTCAATCACTGGCCAAGCCGTGGCTGGACCAGGAGTCTGAGGAAAAATAGAACCCCCATGCGGGCTTACATAACTGAACCTAGGTATTAGTAGAGTGCTGTGTTAATTTAAAGGGTTGTTATTTTGCCTAACTAAATTACAGACTTAAGTTTAAAATACACAATGTTTACATTCTGCTACATTGGGAAGGGTCCTTATAGTTGTTCCTTGATGGTCATGATGCTCCATGTTTAGGTAACTGGATTGAAGACGCTCGTCTAGTTGGTTTGTAGTACATTCGTTTGTTGATAGTCAGGCATTTGATGTGGACGAGAACTGAAGGGCCATCTGTAGTCTCCATGTCTGGTCATTGTCACTTGGTCTTTGGATGGTTTGGGGCAGGAAACAAGCAACACTATCAGAACATCCACCAGGTTGCTTTTCTGCTCATCCTTAGCTGACATGGCATTGACAACTGCATATTTCGTCCAGTTCACTATGATTGCTTCTGTCATTTTTCTTTCAGCATCTTTGTTATCCTGGTTATGTGGGTCTTGTATCAATATGTGTCTTGGTGTTCCTGTTCTTTTTGTTGTACCAGTACCAGTTGTGAAGTTGATAAGGGTTCGTTGGTATCGCTCAACTAGTCATGTAGTGCTTTTCAGAGTCGAGATCAAATTTGTTACCATCAAGTATAATACGATTTTTCACCCAGCCTGACCAGCCGATCCCCTTTGTTTCTTCTCTCATGGCAAGCATGTCTTGCTGAGGGCCAATTCTAACCCAGATCTTCACAGGTACTTCAGTAAGAAGAAGAAAAGTTTATTGTCAGTGGTGTTGTGTAGATATACTCAATGTAAAGTACAAAACATGGAACAGCAATACAATACTTATTTAAGTGGCATTTAGAAGCTAGTATGACGAAGAAGAACACTTTTGATTTGCTTTATAACGGTGTTAGGAGCTACACCGAAACGTCGCATCTACATCAATAAAGAATTTGTCTCTCCATAAAAAATGTTTCTCTTCAGAATTCACAGATTTCGATGGGTTTCATGCATGTATTCAATTTAAAATAACTATCGTAATTTCCATGTAACTTTAACGAATAATCATATAAGAGAAACGTTCATATTCATTGGAGCAATATTGAATATATTTACACTGGTATACATGCAGATGTGGAGATATGGTCCAATAGTGAATAAGTCTCCAAATATTTATGGTAGTATCGCCATGAACGTCAACACTACCAAACCAGTTTAAAATGTGGATTTATTTGCTGTTATTTTATGATGATGTCATAAAGCCCTTCAGCACTAAGGCAATGAGTGAACATACACGATAATTAATCAACGTATGACTTGTCACAGATGACCTTGACTCAACACATCACAAGCTAACTCCTGTTTCATCCAGTTTGTGTGCACATTGATATCATCGTCGTCTGCCCTGACGTGCTTACATGCAGCATCAAAAGCAAGTTGCCAATTGATAACAGTTGCACATTCATGATGGAGATCAGCGATGATGGCATCAGGCGTACTGGTGATATCGTCAGCCATAACGAGACACAGGTTGGCAGTCATCCAAGCAACAGTGAAAACAGCTGTGAATGCAGCAGCACAAACAAAGGCAGCTACCATGAAAACAAGAGTTGTGTGAAATGCAGAAAAAGCGGCAAGGTGTCGGTTAAAAACAACGGGAAAAATGAGCAGAAGTTATTGGCAAATTGGATCGGTCGTCAGTTGTTTTATTGCTAATTTTTTCGCTGGTGGCCTTCCAAATTCGTATGGAGTAATGTACACATACATGAAGGAACCTCTTGGCACCACCGAGTGGGAACTGTCATGGATAGGATCTCTCATGGGTGGATGTATCGGGTTTGCCTGTACGATTATCATTATCATTCATGCATGCTGTAGGTGATAATAACTCTGTTCTTGTTATTAAGACTGCATATATTACACAGGTATACATGAAGATAATGAATATTGTATATTTAGTTCATATTGAATACGTGCGTAAATTCATAAATAATTTACACGGAGACACGGTACTTAAAATATATAATATATTTGCAGATGCATGTTCGTGTTGATTTGTGTTATGTTGTACAGTTTTGCCAGAATCAGCAGTTGCCATGCTACTTCTGCCAACTATAATTCCAGCAATCCTAGGAACAGTATGTGTTGATTGTCTCGGGTGTCGTCTCAGTACTTTATTTGGAGGTGTATTGGTTGGAATTGGTTACATCATTGGAAGTCAGATGGACAGCCTGTACATCTTATACCTCACCCTCGGAGTTCTTCCAGGTATGTTGCAAGTCCAAGTAACATGTATATGTAACAACACCAATAACAGATTACTTTTGAGATTCACCAATCGTATTAAAATCTTGAAATATATCCATTTCTTTTACATTTTGGTATGGTGTCTGGTCCAGCTAAATCTGAAGTTGTGTATTGCCCAGAATTAAACTGATTGTTCAGTACTACGTCTTGACTGAATCGGTGATATTGTGGCTATATTGTGACAATAATATTAATATCTTTGACCATATCTCACAGTGCTCTGCATTTAGGACTTTATAGAGGGCGGATAGTAAATACTGAATCTTAAAAAAACACCACAATATAATATTGCTGTAGATATCCTGCACAGTAGTGATCACTGGCATTATTCATGCAAAACCAGAAGATTGGCAACTTTAACATGTATTCAACATCAAGCATAACAAATAGTCATCAAATCAAATCATGTATTGAGAAAGACTATCGTTATGTTTAAAGCTACTGTTGCAATAAACAAAATAATATATTGTGGTAGATACTGGCATGCCTCATACTTTATCAATATCTATCTGATGATATTTGCTATTCATGACTTAACCAGACTGTTTCAGATTGCGCCTTTTCTACAAAAGTATGTTTTGGCAAAACGGACGGTGTTTTCAATATTTACCCAATATTGCTGAGGATACGTTCTGCCTATAATCTTACTCATGTACTTAATGCAACGTTTGCCGTTACAGTTACACATGCATATCTTCATATGGCACGTATTTAAATACGTTTGAAAATTAGATGAGCTAATATAGGCGTCTACCATGGCCGTTGCATATTTCCAGGGACTGGTGTGTGTATCGCCTTTACTGCTAGCATGGTGCACGTCAGCAAACAGTTTTCAAAATGGCGGCCATTAGCTGTTGGGGCGTCAGTATCAGGGATTGCTGTAGGGATGTTGGTTTGGCCACCATTGTCTTCTGCTGTTGCCGACAATATGGGATGGAGGGGTACATTTCTTATTAATGGTGCACTGACGCTGCATTTCATACCCGGCGCTCTTTTGATCACTCCAGCAAACAATACAGGTATGTGAAGATTCTGAAGACGAACATGTACAAAGAAACGGCTTATTTCTACCTAAAATATGAACAGCTGAGGTAAAGGGCGTTCCCAATAGGCAAATTACAGTAATATATATGTCGTCACCAAAAACCAGTTAACGGTGGAATGTCTGTTTGGCAAGTTATTTTGTATAACGTAATGCAACTGGTATGAAACAAATGCTGTTAATTTATCCCATTGTACCATTGTAACCTTGTGTAGTTATGTAAAAGGTAAAGCGAGTGTGTGTATGTGAAACTTTAGTCGAGTCTCACCCGCGTTTCGAACCTACCCTGTCCGAGGTCAACAAATGGCTGGCACACAAAGCCAGCGATCTAACCTCCTCAGCCACTGGGGCTTCCATAAAATCCGGCAACTGGTAGTCCAGACCATGTACTTCGTATGTTAGGAAGAAAATGTACGCATGTAACAAGTGTTGTATAAGTGTACCTATTCTTAGTAAACATTGGATTATGGTGAATTGTATATTGATGTAAATGTGTGCTGTAATTGTGCTTTGTATATATTTGTTTTCCAGGGCCCTCAAACGATACCACACTTTCCCTACGACAGGCGGTGGGTAGCTGTCTACAAATGTTCAAGATTTCAGGGGCAATACATATTTCCTTCGTTTACATCTTCCTGGGCTTTAGCTACTACACCTTCTCCAGTTCCCTGCCTGACTATCTAACCAGCACATTGTCAACATTGACATCATCCGATGCTGCTCTGATACTTTCAACGTCTGGCTATGGCGGCATGGTCAGTCGTATCGTGTCCACTGGGATATCAATGGCAAGTGACAATGCAGCCAACTACATCTTCCTGGTCACGGCGTTTTTGTGTGGCATTGCCAATTTCCTTGTGCCAGTCTGTGATGGTTCAATTGCTCTACATATTAACAGTGCATTATATGGACTAGCACAAGGTGAGGTTGGTTTAACATTATATTATAACGTTTGATGAAAGTGTCGAATCATGAACAAAAATATCGTTCTAATTTTCTCATGTCATTCTTCGTAACCCTTTGTGTATGTTATGTGTTTCAGGAGGCTGGACGGGAGTTTATACACTTGTGTTAGTCCAGCTGTTTGGTCTTCATAATTTGTCGAAATCACTTGGCATAAATATGGTGTTTCTAGGCCTTGGAACATTCATTGGTGCACCTTTCCAAAGTACGTTTCAATACAATAAGGTACATTAACGTGAAAAAACGTTGTAAATACTATCCTAGCCTTAGGGACCGTTCATATTTTTAGGGTGTGTGGGGGATGATGATTTTTATGGAGAAGCATGTACAATGTGAATGACTCCCACTAAAATTCATGTACAAAGTAAGTGACCCCCTCTGCATGCCATGTACAAAATGAATGACCCCCCCCCCCCCTTCCCATATTTTTAAGCATAATTCTAAAACATTTTTATGTACAAAATTGCTGACCCCCCTAGTACATGTGTATTAAATTGATGGCACCCCTTCCCAGAACAAAATGGGTGACCCCCTTTAAAATCATCACACATACATACCACCCACCCTCACCGTCTCCCACCCCAAGCCATAAATTATAAACGGTCCCTTATATGCTTTACAGTTAGCCTTATCAGTGAAGATCCGGGTTAGAATTGATCTTCAGTAACCCATGCTTGTCGTAAGAGGAGACTAACGGGAGGGATCGGGCGGTCAGCTCGCTGACTTGGTTGATGTCATCGTATGCCAATCGTGTAGATCGATGCTCATGCTGTTGGTCACTGGATTGTCTGGTCTAGACCTGATTACTTAAAGACCGCTGCCATAAAGCTGGAATAGTGCTGAGTGCGGTGAAAGCTAAATTCACTCACTAGAGTTGGCCCTAAAACATGGGAATATACATGTAGAAACTATTGAAAGTATCTATGGGAGCAGTACTCATTGCCAACAAGCCGTAATTCATAAGCCTAAGTGGTTTTAATGCCAGTGGGTAATTGTACCACATCATTGTATTTCATCAAGGAATTCCATAAGTATTTGCAATAAAGAACCCGTATATTTTCAGGTTACCTAGCAACGATATTTGGCAAGAAAGCACCGTTCTACTGCGCAGGGACTTCGTTTTTCTTCACAGTGATGCTCATGATGCCGGTGGTTATTAAACTTCAGATTTCTTCTCCAGCGAAGCGTCACGTGGAGGGTGTTCACAATGACGGCTTCAGTTAGGACAGCGACCCAGATACCACGGCTTGATCTAAAAGAAGCATACACTGAATGTGGTCATTTCATGAACATACTGGTTTCCGTCAACGGGCGCCATTTTGATTAAACAAAACACAGTACCATCATGCCTGTCTTTGGGGTCTTATGTTATACATAATATGCCAACGAAAACTCTAACTGAGCTTCATAAATGGTAGTGCAAATTGTATGTTATTGAAAAGTGCAACTCACAATTCTTATTCAGATTTTCTTATCAATGATTTTTTCATTGCAATTTCATTGACAAAACTCTTCCCGAGAAACAGCTGCAGGAGACCGAGAGACACGACTATCGGATGTGACCAACATATGCGTTGATACAGGCTAGACACTGACAATGCAAGCATATCACAGAAACAGATTTTGAAACTAGCATTTATCTCTAAAATTATATTTCTATCAGAACAATGGAATATAAACACGGGCAGTAGATCGCCAGCAACTGAAGGATGATCGCCATAGGGGGACTTGCAGTACTTTTGCTTCCTGCAAGGACACTAGCTGGATTTTGCAACCCTGCTTTCAGCCGTTTGCCATTGCACTCAAATTTAGCCAAAGATTAAAAGAACACATATTCTGCGATGTGTAGTAGTATAAAAATACTAAAGAAGTGAGACTTACACACCCTCTCAGGGGGGCGATAACTTTACGCTACTTCAACCCCCTTTGAAGATATTGCCACTAACAGTCAAATATATTTATTCATCCTAACAAATTATAATGCATTTACTAATTACAATACAAAATCGAAATTTATCAATTAGGAATTATATGAGGTTGAACTTTATTAAAGATCAGTTACCGTTTAGACATTAAAATATTTATCCCTTAAAAATCAATACAGTAAAATCAATGACCATTGAATATCTGCCATGTATTGCGCCTGTTAACAGCATACCAGCGTTGACTCTCAGCAAGCCGTGGCATTGCATGTTTTACGGTGAAGTAATTATCTTTTCATGAGCACCTTAGAGTTCAAACATTGTTACTAGCTGTTCACAAACAAACACATGTGTGAATAGCACGCTTCCAACACACGCGCACTCATCGATACCTCGACAGAATGAGCATGGCCCATTTTGTCTTGTATGTTCCTGTTTATGTTTGGCCACCACACGTTGCCACTCGTTCATGACACTTAATAAGCCCACGATTCGTGACACAGCTCTCAAGGATTCAGGCATGTCTCTTTGTCAGTACAGAAAACCATCATGATATGCCAAGTAACCCTTGTAGCAGTTACACCATATGGTGTAGCGCCTAGTTTGAGCTTGATTTCCACAAGTTCACTTTGAAGCAATCTGATATCGCCAAACACAATTTTGTATATTTCTTCAGTAGAGTTCACTTGTAGAGTCCATGCTCAACACAAACTCCCCGACCAAGGACACTCTTTTTCTGAGTAAGACTACTCACCACACAAGTGGCATCAAGGCTAATCTCTGCTGTGAACTCTCCCTGGCTTACCAGTGTCGTACCCGACCCCTCCAGAATCCGACCTCATCTGTGGTTGTGTATCTAATTGATTAAACACCTACTCATGGGCGTCTGATTGATATGTCAACTGACTGCTAGTACACTAAGATGTGTCTCCAACATATTCTACTTCTTCACCCTCCTGCCCCATGTCATTATCCCTAGTGATGTCCATCTACATGTTTAGCGCGACACTTCGCTATGCAATGTCCAGTCTGGTCGCACTGAATGCAACGCTTCAGTCAGGCTGGTCATCTTTGACCACTGAGTTGTCTCATACACAAAGTTTTTAATTGTCCCAACATTCTTCTCCCTGTCCGTTACCATTTGCACCCTTCTTTAATGCTGGCACATCTGGAGTTATAACTTCCTTTCTACGTCTGTCGGCCCTTAGCCGATGATCCTTTTTCTTCACCTAGATTAACCGTTTGCCCACATCCTGCGCGACCTCTGCTAAAATATGCTCTTACATGAATCCCATTCCTCCACGGTGATTATTTAAATAAGCTAGCCTATAATCGAGGTTGTTCCGATTGGCGTCACGACTGTAGGTGAATGATTTCATAATGTGCTCTGGCTTTCCCCAAAAAATAGAACAAAAAAAACCATTCAGAATCTGCGTCGCTCTGTATATTTAGAATGTCATATCACAGAAAAAGCTGTTTCCACTCGGATCATTCTTCAGGCTACACATATTATACTTTGGTGGCTTGAAACTCAGCATGTTTCCAGTTCTGACCCGACACAACAGTTAATTCCTTGCACAAAGACCATGTCTCAATAACCAGACGACTCGAAGAGAAGGCAGACGATGTATTTATTCGGGTTGCTACATGTGCATGACCTATGCCACGTGCAATCCCGGCGCGCTCCTGTTTGCTGGCCGAACAGCATAACATTCCCCTTATGACCAGTCAACCGATAGGTCGTCAGTATTCATCCTTGTTGTCATTTTCAATCTAATCGTTTGAAATCAGAATCGACTAAATCTAATGTAAATTTCATGTAACATGCAGGACAGACAGTGAATTCTCGAAATATCGTCTGAAAATGCAAACAGCTGGCACACCAGATAGTGCGGAGTGAAATTTGTGTGGAAAGAAATCAGTATCAGGGGAAAAAACACTCAGACGCAATGCTTTCCAATATATACGATCAGAACACTGTCCACCATTCAGAGGCAATCAATTTGCACATACACAGCATATAGATAGAACAGTTAGAAGTTGTTGAGAATGGAAACATTACCTAGACCCAAGTGAAATTAATAACTATAAGCACAGGCAGTTTATCTTATAATTAATAGAGAAACTACACTTCGATGGCAGTTATAGGGAACAAAATGAAAACCTGAAGAAATCTACGGGGAGAAAAACAACCTAGATTTAAAATATACCTTCTCTATATTTGTTTAACTGCAATTTAGAAACCATAGAAGTTTTAGTATTTGAACCATTCATTCACAACACTGACATTGTATGACACTCTGTGCTAAGGACATGTTCGAAATCTAATTCATCAGTATACTAGTGGTCTTAAACATATGTATTTGATAAACAAAAGGATTGGGAAATAACTAAGTTATATTATCTTAATGCCCCTCAAATACACAGACCTCTATCAGATTCAGAGATTAATTTATAAGCATATTTTATTATTTCTGTTTTCCTGAACACATTTTTCAACATTACCATATGAAGCTTTTGAGCACCTTTCGTTGTCTACAGCAATATGTATTATTTCTAACAATGTTGTAATTTGGACACACATAACAGTGATGCGGGGTATTTGTATTAGAAGCGTCGCATGAATTGGTGGGTCATTTGAAATGAATCTATTAATCTTCTTTGAATTTAAATGATGTAACCTAATTGGAATCGAGAATGATTCTCTCAACAGAATCTTTCGAAAATTGATATTTATTCCCAATTTCATGAGGATAGTGTTAAAATCTTCTGTCCAAAGTAAGACAGAATTAGGTAGCGAAGGGTTTGCATAACATGCTTTAATACGTTGCAGTTTTAAAGAATGTTTTTTTAATTTATAAGGGTTACCAACCAAACCAAAATTAGAAATTAATTTGTCCAAGGAACACATTAAACTCTTTTTTTCAGAATGTTTTGTTAAATAATTATTGTTGATTTGCCAAGTTGATTCCCAAAGATCTGCTTCTAGCTATTGCTCGGCGCATGTTACAGCGTAGCTATGGGGCTTATGGGTAATTCCCGGGTATAAGCGAGTGAGCATGTATACAAGGTGACGTGACAGATAAAGAGCGTATGTGAATGAATACAGTGTTAGTTATCATGGAGATGAATTAACAGTGGTAGCAGAGCGTGGTTTGCATATTCTAATCATTGTGGCAAGCGTATTGACTGTATATCCTATGAGTTACACCGTATGAAGTTTGAAGTTACTGATTGAACTTTGACCAAGTATGGACAAGTTGGACAAGTGAAATGTGCGTTCGGTTGTATTCTGCCAGTAAATGATGTGATGAATGGATATTCAGTTGCATAGTGACATCTTCAGTGAAAGCGACAATTATCAATTTGAACAATTAACTCTGTAGTTGAACGAAGTTATTCCATTGTTTACATGATCGAAAACTGGACTCGGTAGCGGGAAAAAGTATATTCAGTGTACAGAAGTGGAACATTTCATACCATGGCTGTGAGAATCAACCCTCCGGATTTCAACCTTACTAAGAGTTACGAGCGTTACAAGCAGGAACTGCTGGCATGGCGGGAAGTTACTGACTTAAAGAAAGAGAAACAAGGTATCGTCTTAGCTGTGTCTTTGCCTGAAAACGAGATTGGTATACGTGAGAAAGTGTTTGATAACATCAATCTTGCTGATTTGAAGAAAGAAGATGGTTTCGATACCTTGTTGACGTTTTTAGATAAAAATTTGGGAAAAGATGACCTGGCAGATAGTTTGGATAAATTTGAAGATTTTGAGGACTAAGAACGTGAATCTGGACAGTCAATTAATGAATTTATTTTAAAATTTGATCAAAGATACAACAAGATTTTGAGAAAGGGAATGAGTCTTCCACAAGAGATTCTTGCTTTCAAGTTACTCAAACGTGCAAAGATAAACAAAGAAGAGAAAATGTTGGTTATGACAGGCATGGACTATACTAAAAAGGAAGATTTGTATGATCAAGCTAAGGTTTCACTGAAGAAATTCCTCGGTCAGCAGGCAGGTGGTGGTTCAAGCTCAACAGCATTTGCGAATATTAAGGTGGAACCAGCCTTCGTGGCTCAAGAAGAAGAAACATATTTTAGTCAGTCTGGCAGATCTCGTGGCAGATATTTCAGACCAAGAGGATTTGGTAATGGCAGAGGAAGAGGAAGTACTTGGAGAGGTCGTGGACAGTCAGATCGAGCTATGAACACTGTTGGTGCAAATGGTAGAACTTTAACTTGTCTTGCATGTGGTTCATTCCGACATCTAATTGCACATTGTCCTCACAGCTATGAAAACATGTCATCAAGAGTCAATTATACTGAAGGTGAACCAGTACAGACAGAAAAACAAGTGGTGCTGTTCACTGGAAGTATCAAGGAAGGTGTGCTTCAACTCTGATGTATATGTTCACTGTGGGATTGACTTTTAACTCATTTTAAAAATCAAAACAAGAGCTTCAAGTTTTAAACGTAAATTCAATTTGTGATAGTTTTAATATTTTCACAACACACAAAAAAAGGACATTATAATGAATGTTGATGTCATCTGCTATGAACTCTGCTCGGCGCATGTTACAGCGTAGCTATGGGGCTTATGGGTAATTCCCGGGTATAAGCGAGTGAGCATGTATACAAGGTGACGTGACAGATAAAGAGCGTATGCGAATGAATACAGTGTTGGTTATCATGGAGATGAATTAACAACGTCCGTGACAAGAATTCGGTATAGCAAGAAACTCCGGCTTGATCCAGTTGATCCCGTGTCCCTTTTCAGCGGGAGGTTGGATATAAATATCGAGAGCTTTGAGTACAGTAGTTTGTAATTCGGACGCTGCTATTTTGCGAGGCAGCCAATTCAAAGCTGACATCACACGATGCCGCTAGGTGAAGATAGTAATGGGGACTATGTCACCAAACATGCTGGTGTTGAAGAGCGAAACGTCTCTGGATGCAACAATGAAAATATCAACGGCATTTATCATGACAAGAGTACTGAGGAGGGGCATCCCAACACCTCAACTGAGAAGTCAACGGGGAAACAAAACGAAACATACTGGCAAATTGGTTCGGTCGTCAGTTGTTTTTTTGCCAATATGTGTTTTGGTGGACTCGCAAACTCTTACGGAGTAATGTACACATACATGAAGGAACCTCTTGGCACCACGGAGTGGGAACTGTCTTGGATAGGATCTCTCATGGGTGGATGTATCGTGTTTGCCTGTGCGATAAGTATAAATGTATTGTTAAGTGGAGGATATATATATCGTGTGTGTATGTGTGTGTGTGTGTGTGTGTGTGTGTGTTAGCCTTTTCAGTTAGAATTGAGGTTTTCTTTTTATCTTGCTTACATATACCATTCATCTTGCTAAATTACACCATTGGTACGAATGAATTTTCACTCATGTGTTACAGGTATTTTTGGAACGTTATGTGTCGAAAGTCTCGGGAGTCGCCTCACCACTGTAATTGGAGGAGTTCTTACTGCAATCGGTTATGCCATCGGCAGTCAGATGAACAACATATACGTGCTGTATTTTACACTCGGCATTCTTCCAGGTATGTCTAGAAAAAACGTGTGTCATTAAATGCCGTCAATATGATAATGATGATGCCTTTGTTTAGTGGACCCTTGCTTGCTTTATCAGTCAATATCAATATTATCTGGTCCAGACGCGACTATCTACAGGCTGTCGTCATATAGCTGTGTAAACAATGTATTGCTCCTTGTAACGGTCAAACTGTTAACACAGAAGCGACATAGTTATTATCCTCCCGGCATATACTGCGGGGGGATATAGTCAACGCCTCGTCCGTCCGTCTGTAATCATTTCGTTTCCGGACCATTACTAGAACACCGTCCAATATTTTTCATCAAAAATTGGTAGATATACCAAACAGAACCTAAAGTGGTGCCTTTTGCTATTTACAGATTTTTGTCATTTATTTTTTTGTGTGAATGTCCATGGAAACAATTTGGACTTAGTCTCAAAAAGGGGTGGCTTTCGTATCCGGAGCAAAACTCGAAAACCTTCGAAAAGCTTGGCAGATATATAAAACAGACCACAAAGTGGTGCCTTTTGCTATTTGCGGATGTTTGGCATTATTATTTTTCTCAGTTTCTATGGAAGCAATTTGTACATGGTCTCAAAGGGATGGGGTGGACTTCTCACATCTCGGAAACCTTTCAATATCGTTCTACAAGACTTGTCAGACATATCAAACAGAACCTAAAGTGCTGCCTTTTGCTATTTGAAACTTCTTGGCATGTAAATTTTTCACGATTTACATGTAAACGATTTGGACTTAGTCTAAAAAAATCAAGTTGGACTTTAAGTAACTGTCAGATGATTTGATCGTTCAAATTTGTGGGCCCGGGGGGATTTCGCATCTTCTGAGGACTCTTGTTAAAACGTTGACTGTTTCACGTGAATCGGTGATACCTCGCAAAATCATACAGCTCCCTATGAAGTGAGCTGCAATCAGTCGTAAATGAAGCCAACATAATATGTATACCTCGCACATATTTCCTGACAGGAATTGGCGTGTCCCTCGCTTACACCGCCGGTATGGTGCACGTCAACAGACAATTTTCAAAATGGCGACCAGTAGCCGTTGGAATAGCAGTAACAGGAATAGCTGTGGGAATACTGACTTGGCCGCCACTCTCTGCTGCTATTGCTGAGAATATGGGATGGAGGGGTACATTTCTCATCAATGGGGCTCTCACGATGCATTTCCTACCATGTGCTCTCTGGATAACTCCGAGGAACAGCAAAGGTGATACCACACGTCACAGTTCATTTGTCATATATCCACAATATCATAAGCAAGCATTCCCAAATGTTAAAGAAAGAGATTTGAGGCTACAGATTTTTCGTTACTCAGCATGCGAGTAAGTCGTAGGCCCATAAATACGTATGATTGGCACAACAGCCAGAGCAGCAGCGTTTAACACTCGTACATATGTTACCACATAATGGCGTATCATAACTACTTCAAACAAGAACGATAACTTTTTTCTGTGTAATTCCAATAATTATAAACATTACAGAAGAGATCGAAAAAAGATTTTTAGCTGTGTTCAAAAACATTAATGATATCAACAATGATGACGATGATTTGTTGAAAACATGTTCTAAAGTTATTACAACCAGCTACTCACCTTATATTTCCAAGTTTATAGTTCTAATACGCCTTATGATTGCAGAATAGGTAATTTTAATTATATTTTTTCTAGCAGTAATAAGTCCCAAAACAGGAGAAGAAGAATGACTTTAAATATATCTCAAAGTGAAGAATTCGAGGAGAGTCCTTTCATGATTTAGTGTACGCTGTGTCTATTAATGAGGATAGGAATACGCTCATCCCAAATGCTATTATGTACATTATTCATTATCTTATTGATATTATTCTCGTATAGATGCTTTTAAACACAGTTCCTAAGTATGTTCAGTGTCGCACACCACTCAACCTAGGATTTGCCTTACTTCTGGATTAATACAGAGTACGATTGAGACTTCTGAAGTCTAATGCTTTTGAAGTCGTGTTTGGTTTAATACCAGTTGATTACCAAAATACTTCGCACCTAGACTTGGGGAATTAGCCGGGGTTGGGGGGAGGGGAGGGAGATCTCAACACCGTAACACAAACAGAAGGATTCCAGGGTCAGACTGATGTATGTCTCATACCCTGGTGCTTATATAGTTGAACCCTCTGCTTGTATGATATAACCAATTTCCCTAACATGGAGACGACGCTTTACCTATCTTTTGAAGAGTTGTGCCTTTGAAATATTACTCAATTTTGGCAGATTGATTTAGAGATTATAATTTGCTTTGGTCGTGTGTTATCGGAAAAGTTAAGTAATAACCAGTAATGTACGTGGTTAAGCATCCACATCTATGTCTGTTTAATTTTACAGCATGTACAGACGTGAATATTTGACCATTAAGTTGTGGCCGGAGCGGTCACTACAAACACTGAAGTGTATACTCAATTAGGCTTTTAGCGGCATGGGGCAATAACGGCGGCATAGACAGCTGTCAGTTACGCAAGTTGCCAATAACAAGTCTGTAACTACATGCATACTTTAACAAAATGTAAGAGATATAAACTCGACTTTGTTGAGAAATATCTGAACAATTTTAGGTAAAAATATACACATTTTGCAACTGTTATCACATGGGCTGCAGTGCTATCGTCATCCTGTACGGACGTCATCATCAATCAGGTCAGTATCAAAATGAGAACGCTGTAAATTTACAACCATATTAGCACTTGCTGTAATTGTTCATGATTTCTTTTCAGGAGATGTTCATTGTCCAAGAGTTTCCTTGAAGGAAACTATTATCAACTGTTTCAAAATACATCGTTTGCCGGGAGCACTTGCTTTCTGCATTGCTCAATTGCCCTTCGGCTTTGGCTACTTCACTTTCTCAACTTTTCTTCCTGACTACGTGACAGCATCACCATTCAGCATGACGTCATCGGAAGCTGCGCTCATTGTTTCGTCTTCTGGATATGGCAGCATGTTTGGGCGTGTTTTTTTCTGTGGAATAGCCATGGTGAATAAACATTCAACAAAATACATATTGTTATTTTCGGGCTGCCTCTGTGGTATCTCCAACCTGATTGTCCCACTCTGTGACGGTCCCGCCACTCTCCATATCAGCAGCGCTGTAAATGGACTGGCTATAGGTGAGATGGTTTCCAGCAGATTATAAGATAGTCAGTACCTATGAACGTTAAACAAGCTTATTACCAACGTTCTCTATCATTTGAGTATTTACTTTCTTTCATTTTTCAGGAGGTTGGATGGGCGTTTTATTGCTAGTGGCTGTGGAACTGTTTGGTGTTAATAATTTGTCAAGAGTATTTGGCATGAACATGATGTGTGAAGGAGTGGGTTCATTCGTCGGACCACCTTTACAAAGTAAGTTTCAATGAAAGAAAGCCTTGTAAAAATGTTAATATCTCCATCAAACGAGTTAATTATTAAGTGTTGCTAAACGCTGCAGTCGGCAATATTCCAGCTATGTTAGAGTTGATGACTAGGACAAGGCGCCGCCACCTCAGGATAGAACACATCAGACAGTCGGACACTGATCTAGCATTAAAACTAAATAAGAGCTTTTCCCGGCGGCGATCTATAGCCCGTATTTTTATATTGTATTTTCTGCTTTCACTAAAATGTTTTAGTTTTCCATGCTAGTTTTATATCCATATCTGTGATACTCTAGTTATCTTACAGTCCGTCGATGACTGGTTATTTACCTACTTGTATTCATTGTGCATGCCGAACATTTCTCGTCACTATATGGCTGAAATATTGCCGAGGTGACGTTAAATTTTAACTCACTCACTCACTGACTCACTTTTCCCGGCGACTACTAGCCTGACGTTTTGTTCATATTTCAGGTTACCTAGCAACGATATTTGGGAAGGAAATCCCATTTTACACCGCTGGGACAGCATTTACCGTGACAACAATTTTTATTTTTGTATCGATAATGCAAACGCGGAAGACATCTTGTACTTTAGGAGGGCTACCTACAAAGACTGTGGCTGCTGGTGTCGATAACGTGGGTTTCAGTCCAGACAAATCTACCTACTGAACTGACGATACCTTCAGTGTATATTGGTGTGTGGTGAATGGCTGTGACGTTGTATGTAGCGACTTTGAATGAATTTCACAATAATGTTGAATTTGTAATGGGTTAAGCTACAACAATTAAACACATCCATGATGTTCCCTCGATATAAAATACAACAGATAATATATGTGCGAGCAATGACATAGGGTTCCAAGCTTATTCTTTCTTCTGACATTGTCGGTTGAGACAAAGTCCCATTTGCATGATCTCACATTTAATTCTTATAAAAACGACAGCAATAAGCCAATGTCCTTCGTCATGCAGGAGAAGGAAATACATTACATAACTTTGTAAGTATATAACTCTAACTAAGTTTGTGGAAAGAAATAGGATCTTATGGATTCGGACAAAGTATATCTACTTAAAAAGAATCTTTAACCACAGGGTACCCTTAGCTGTAGCTCAGGCCATAACGAAAGTATTAGTACTTCCACTAAAACTATTAGTATTAGTTTTGTATTGTTATTATTAGTTTCGAGAAACACGTTAGTATTATAAACATGAGAACCCCATGGTTTTGCAACATAGGTATTTGTGCTTAAGTATTCAAACTTCATCGAACTGGTTTCAGCACAAACGTGTTCCTACTACACTGAAATCGTAAATCTGATAATTCCTTGGCACTGACCCATTCTATTTACTTTAAAAAATGTTATTGGCCACTTTTAGTTTTGATTATGTTATTTCCAGCTTTATAAAACAATCCTATACTGAACTAGAACCTTAACAAGACTTTTCATAGTTCTAGCTTTCTATCAAAAGGGCAGCGTGTGGCTCTTGAAGATCTATATTGTGAGCTTCATATCAGTAGCCCATGTTTTCCTACCAACTTTTATCTAATCTGACTAACATCCTGACACCGTGTAGGATATCTATCTGGTGGCATGTCAAGTAACTTGAAAAAAAACACCTCAGACATCTATCATACGTATCCACATGAATAGCGTAACGACAGCATTCGCCAAAAGTCTGCTTCAAGCTGCTGTGTTTCGTCACGTACGTCCGTGACAAGAATTCGGTATAGCAAGAAACTCCGGCTTTATCCAGTTGATCCATCGTCCCTTTTCAGCTGGAGGTTGGATATAAATATCAAGAGCTTTGGACAGTTTGTATATAGTTCGTGTGCTGCTATTTGTGCGGGAGCGAATTCAAGGCTGACATCACACGATGCCGCTAGGTAAAGATAGTAATGGGGACTATGTCACCAAACATGCTGGTGTTGAAGAGGGAAACGTCTCTGGATGCAACAATGAAAATACCAACGGCATTTATCATGACAAGAGTACTGAGGAGGGGCCTCCCAACACCTCAACTGAGAAATCAACGGGGAAACAAAACAAAACATATTGGCAAATTGGTTCGGTCGTCAGTTGTTTTTTTGCCAATATGTGTTTTGGTGGACTCGCAAACTCTTACGGAGTAATGTACACATACATGAAGGAACCTCTTGGCACCACGGAGTGGGAACTGTCTTGGATAGGATCTCTCATGGGTGGATGTATCGGATTTGCCTGTACGATAAGTATAAAAAAGCATTGCTATATTTATATATTATATACAGTCTTGAAGAAGGACGGCATAAGCCATTTGTAGAAAATATATTGCATTAGATAGACCAATTATTTCATGCAATTTCAATGGTAAAAATGTGAAAATTAGAGAGTTCGCCAACACAAAATCAGCCTTCATTGTTGTGTTTCTGTTTACTTGAGCCCACAAGGTGGCGTCAAAGTCAGTACTGTGTATGGCCATCATTGGCAGCAAGTACTGCTCGGCACTGACTCAGCACAGACTGGATAAGTCGACGAAGTCTTGTGATCGGGAAGGCCATGGCAAGACATTAGAATTGGCAGGATAGACGACCGTGACGCGTGCTGTGCGTGAAGTAGCGTTGTCATGCTGGAACAACTTCCTCTGTCTATCCATAATCAGAGGCATGTGACGTGCAAGGAGTGAGTGAGTTAATATTTAACTTCACATCGGCAGTATTTCAGCCATATCATAACGAGTACATATTTGACATTCAAGTGGAATATATGTATATTATAAAAACCTGCCGACGAAGGAGAGTAAAACAACTAGAATATCACAGTTACAACTAAAACTAGTGTGGAAAGATAAAACTGATAGCACTATTTGGACAGTACAATATAAAAAAGGCTAGAGATTGCCAACAACTGAAGGTAGATCATCATACTAGGTGAGTGAGTAGGTTAAAATTTAAAGTCACTTTGGCAATATTTCAGCCATATCGTGACTAAAACAACATATATATTAACAATAATTAAAGATAGAGTATAAAATCCTGAGAATGAAGGACAGAAAAAACTAGAATATCACAGATATAAATGTAAAACTAGTAATTAAATCCAAAACATTTTAACTATAGAGGACAACACAATATAAAAATAGGCTATAGATCACCAACAACTGAAGGTAGTTCATCATACTAGGGACTATGGGGACTTACAGTACCTTTGCTACCTGCATGGACCCTAGCTGGATTTACACCATCCCTTCAGCCGTTAGCAATTTAGATAAATATAGCCATAAATTAAAATAACATATAAACTACGATTAAAAATAGTAGTAGGTTTAAATTTACTGTGAATGCATTTGGACTTACGTACCCTCTCAGGAGGACAATAATTTTACATTACTTCAACCCCCTTTGAGGGTACAGCCACTACTAATCTAAACTACCAATCATTAAAATACATCTAGCTACAGAATATATAAATCAGAATTCATCAATGAAATCAATTTCTTTAAAAAAGAACAATAATTAAATGAGAATTCACAGTAGTAAAAAATCCTTAACTGTTTTCACATTGAAATAGTTATCCCTTATGATGGAGAATTCAACACAGTCAAGCAGGATATGCTTGACCGTGACTCTCTAATCACAAGGGATACAAAACGGAGGATCTTCACCTTTTAACAAGTATTTGTGAGTATAACGCGTATGGCCAATGCGACATCGTCGCATAATGACCTCATCAAATCTTGACTGACAACCCAAGTAGGTGTAACCGACAGTTGGTTTAATTGCATGTAACTTATTTAATACCTACTTGGGTGTCCCATTTCTTCTGCATCAGATCACGGATGTAAGTTCTAATGCTAGCTTTGTAATCAGAGTAAGGAATAAGAAGTGGTGTCACAGATTTGTTGAGTGCTGCCTTAGCAGCAAGATCGGCCATTGTGTTCCCAGAAATGCCAACGTGGCTGGGTAACCAACAAAAGACGTTGTCGTATTGGCCAGTTGCAAGATCATTATACAATTCAATTATTTCAATTAAAAGTGGATGTTAACAAGAGATATTTTTTATAGCCTGAAGGCAAGAAGAAGAATCTGAAGAGATGATATATTGTTTATATTTGGGGTGTCTAGTAATATATTTAAGAGCTGTTAGTATTGCGTTTGCTTCTGCTGTGAAAATAGAGCTGTAATCAGGCAATGGAGAAGATATTGTTCTGGATCCAATGACAGTGGCACAAGCTACTGCGCCACCATCCTCGGACCCATCTGTAAATAAGGATTTGTATGCATTATATTTATGTCTTAATTGACTAAATTCTTGTTTATACAGTAATTCATTAGTTTCAGATTTTTTAAATGTAGTTAATGTTATGTCAACGTGTGTTCTCACTAATTGCCAAGGAGGAGAAGAAAGAAGACGGGAAGGAGAAATATTTTCCAGCACAAGGCTGGCAGCAGAAATGAATGGTTTAATTCTGAGCCCAAGAGGCGGAACAAGAGAAGACTTCTTGTTGTACAGATCTTCATAGAGGGGATTAAAGACACAGTTATATGCAGAGTTCGACGGACTAGAATATAGTTTAGTGACTCGTATTGTAAAGATAATTTTATACGATCTTTCAATAGAAGTTCTGAAAGATCCAAGACAAAGTCTTAAACCTTGGTGATGAATAGAATCAAGAAGTTTAAGGTTGCTTTTACAGGCTCCGCCATATATGATGGAACCATAATTTTGATCGAATGAGTGATCTGTATAAGTGTAGTAGGGTAGTTTGGTGCCCTCCCCACTTAGAATTGGAAACGACTTTCAACAAGTCAAGTGCCTTCAGGCATTTAGGTTTAAGGGATTTAATATGCGGCAAAAACGTTAGGTGAGAGTCAAAAATTAGACCCAAGAACTTGGCCTCCTTAACAACTTTGATGGGAGTGCCATTGAAAAATAGTTCCGGGTCTTTATGAGGTTTGTATTTACGGCAGAAATGTATACAATTAGTTTTCCATTTTGAAAATGTAAAGCCGTTTTCAAGACACCATTTATCTATATTGTTTAAACACAACTGTATTTGCCGTTCAATAGTGTGCATACTTTTACCACGGCAAGAAATATTAAAATCATCCACAAAAAGTGATCCATCGATTGAATCGTTTAAAACCTTGGATAAGCTGTTGATATTAATGCTAAATAAGGTAACAGACAAAATACTGCCTTGTGAAACACCCTGATCCTGATTATAATGATCAGACAGGGTTGAACCCACTCGAACTTGAAAGTGCCTGTCATTTAAAAAGTTGGAAATAAATTGAGGTAAACGACCTCGCAATCCTAGGCCATGTAAATCTTTTAAAATGCCATATTTCCACGTAGTGTCATATGCTTTTTCTATATAAAAAAATAGACACTGCATGTTGTTTATTGATTAGAGCGTTTTTAATAAATGATTCCAAACGCACTAAGTGATCGATAGTACTTCTGTTTTTACGGAAACAACATTGTATATCTGTTATAAGGTTATTTGTTTCCAAGTACCAAACAAGTCGATTATTTATCATACGTTCCATGGTTTTGCAGACACAGCTAGTTAGTTAAATCGGTCTATAACTGGACGGATCTGTATGCTGACGTCCAGGTTTAGGTATTGGTATTACTGTAGCGTCACGCCATGAGGGAGGAAATTTTCCACATGTCCAAATATCATCAAAAATATTCAAAAGGGTCTCTAAACATGATTCCGGTAAGTGCTGCAGAAGCTGATAATGGATGTTATCAGCTCCTGTAGCAGTATCGTGAGCTTGTTCAAGAGGAGTATGAAGCTCATGAATAGAAAATATTTCATTGTAATCTTCCCCATTATCTGAATGGAAATTAGTAGTTTTCTTTTCCTGTTGTTGTTTATATTTTTGGAATTGAGGTACATAATTCGATGAGGAAGAGTGTTTGGCCAAAGTTTCTCCAAGTTTATTTGCAATATCATATTTACTAGTTAATAATTCGTCTCCGGCTTTGGGATGTTTAATGCTAGATTGAGAGCCCTTACCTTTCATTTTCTGGATCATATTCCATACCTTTGATATCGGCGTTCGTGAATTTGTTTTTGACACATAATTTCGCCAGGATTGGCGTTTACTTTGTTTGAAAGTACACCGTGCCTTAGCGGTTAAAATTTAGAATTTTTTCAAATTATGCACCATAGGATGTCGACGGAAATAATGCCCAGCTTTCTTCCGTGCCGTCCTGGCCTGTTCATCGGTGAACCATGGTTTTCGTATGTGTGGAATTGCAGAAGATTTAGGGATACATTCATCAGCTATATAAGTGAGTTATTCAGAGCAATCCTTTATAGCATCAGGAACCTCTATAAAATGTTCAGGTTTAAGACTGTTACAACACAGAGTTCGATATAAGTTCCAGTTAACTTTTTTAAAGTTCCATCTCTAGGATGGGGTAGTATCAGATGGGTTCACAGGTTTTAATACCGTTTGAAAATGGTCACTTCCACGGAGGTCATCATGGACTGACCATTCAAATTCACTTAATAGGTCTGGGTCTGTAATTGATAGATCTAGAGCTGAATAAGTTCCTGTGCCAGGATGTAAATATGTGTTGGAACCGTCATTATATATGCATAAATCATTATCTGAACAGAACTCTTCTAATAGTTTACCTTAAGCAGTAGTAGTTGCACCACCCCAGAGTGGGTTGTGGCCATTTAAGTCCCCCATAATAATACAGGGTTTTGGTAGTTGGTCATATAAAGTTTGAAGATCAGTCGTCTGAAGGTTTGAAGACGGGGAGATATACACAGAGCATAATGTAAATGCAACGGGTAACGTAAGTCTCACTGCAACTGCCTGGAGATTAGAAGTAAGTGTAATAGGACTATGAATAACATTCTGTTCGACGAGGATTGAAGATCATCTAGTGGCTCTGTCACCCGGAGGTGAGAAATAATGGTATGCATTGAAATGACGGAGGTAAAAAACATCTGTCTGTTTTAGACAAGTCTCCTGCAGACAGAATGCTGATGGCGTATAATCATGGACTAATAACAGTAAATCATTGTAATTATTCTTTAATCCTCTGCAATTCCATTCTATGATATTATGTGAATAAACTATCTTTTCGGGGGATTTATTGGGGATCTACCCCGCACTTTTTGGAGGGCGACAAGCTCTGTGCCCTTGAACGGACGGTTTCAGTCACGTCCATATCATCAAGAGATCCATATTTGTTGTATAACTGAATTCTGTTTTCTGACCCTTTGGGGTCTCTTTCACTTTGTGCTTTTGAGGAATCAGGCTTAGGATTATTTTTGCCTTTACCAGTTTGTTGAATAGTAGATGACAATTGAGACTTTGAACCCGACTGAGATTTATGATCAGAAGATGACGCTGAATGCTTTTCAGACATAACAGGAAGTGAGTCTGTAGTTTGAGAAGACATTGCACGGTACAAAAGCTGTGGAGAATCGCTTTTGACCCAAGTCAATCATCATACTAGGGACCATGGGGACTTACAGTGCCTTTGCTACCTGCATGGACCCTAGCTGGAATTACACCATCCCATTAGCTGCTGGCGATTGTAGGACACGTTTAGCCAACAGTTAAAAATAACAAAAATACTGAGTTTAAAAATCTGGTAATTTTCAATTTAACATTGAAAGTTATTGGACTTACGTATCCTCTCAGGAGGACAATAATTTTACGATACTTCAGCCCCCTTTGAAGACACAGCCACTAACAATCTCAGTTGCTAATTTATTCTACCATGTCATTTATCTATTTACAAAATATAGTATTCAAAATTCATCCAATAATTCTATTTCCTATAAAAAAATCAATTATTAAATGATGATTAACACTATAAATGTTTTGACATTAAAATATTTATCGGTTGTGATGGAAAAATCGATCCAGTCAGGCAAGACTTGACTGTGATTCTCTCATCACAAGGGATGCAAAACAGAGGATCTTCACCTTTGAGCAAATATTCATGAGTGTATCTCATCGCATGATGACCTCTTCAAATCTGGACTGACAACCCAAGTAGGTGTAACCAATATAGGGTTTTATAGCATGTAATTGATTAATACCTACTTGAGTGTCCCACTGCCTCTGCATCAGATCACGAATGTACGATCTAATGATTGCTTTGTAATCGGACTATGGAATGAGAAGTGATGTCACAGATTTGTTGAGTACTGCCTTAGCAGCAAAATCGGCCATTGTGTTAGCAGAAATTCCAATATGACTATCTAACCAACAGAGGACGATGTCGTATTGGCCAGTAGCAAGCTCATTATATCGTAAAATTATATCGATTAAAATGGGATATTTGCAAGATAGATTTTTGATAGCCTGAAGACAAGAAAGAGAGTCTGAAAATATGATATACTGTTTATATTTAGGATGTATTTTTATATAGTTAAGCGCTGTTAACCCTTGTCCTGCTACCGGGGGCCTGAGAGGCCCGAGCGTAACTTTGATTACACATAAAAACGTAACTGTACATCGGATATGGCTACGTTTCCATGTAATACTCCCACTTAAGTCCTTAAATACACCAGTTAATTTTAAAAACAACAGTTCATAAAAATTAAATACAAATTATTAATTTGAAATCTACATACACTAACTGTTATCATGGGCCTCAAAGGCCCAATCATACCCCATCCATATATCAATTTAGCTATAAAATTGCCCATGTGGGTATGACAACATATACTGTAAGGCAGTCACTATGAAGCATCAGGCGAGGAAAAGCGGTACTTTTTGGCCAGTTTTAGCACATCTACAAGAGGATGATGCTCATATGCAAATTTCTATAGACAGTTGTTCCAACAGTTACTATGTATTCTGGTCTTGAATCAACGTCTTCTGACTGTGAAGATTCTGTGTCTGATGAAAAACTGTGGATCAAGAAGCCTTTTTAACAAGCAAGGATGGCAGCATCTGGTCTTTAAATCCACCATCACATGGACGTGTTGCACAGACAAACATTTTGTAAGGGCCACTGCAGAAAGTTGTCAACGTGGATCATTTGACAAATGAAGTGGATATGTTTCAGCTGTATATTTCAGAGGAAATTGTAAATTACATTGTTACAAATGATGACCTTTTGCTTTAGATCGCTGCAGCTTGCATGGCTGTATCCTCACTTTGCTGCACACGAGGGCGTGATCAGTGTTGCAGTCGGCGCTGTAGTAGCTTCTCGATTCCAGAAGAGTTTTCACAGCTGAGCGTCTCATGACCACGAGGTCCAGTTGGTGGCAGCGATGAGACCTTGGGTGTTTCCAGGACACTTTGTGTTGGGGCTTGGACTGGACGCAAAGACTGTGGTATTAGCACAGCTCGAGAAACTTCTGTCCATTGTCGTTCATCTTTCCGACGCCATGGTGACCGATGCCACGACTGCTGATCAGATCCAACCCGGGTGTTGAAGTCGCCGCGAAGGAACAGCGGCCCCAATTTCGGTACCCTGCCAACATGGGTGTCAAGCTCATCATAGAAATGGTCCTTGATGTCTTCTGGACTACTCGGAGTAGGAGCATAGATACTGAGGATATTGACAAATCCTGCAACAGTAGCCAAGCGGATTGACAGGACACGTTCTGTGCCACCTGCTGGGGATTCCACTGAAGCGATACATGTAGAAGACTATTCTCTACTACAAAGCAAACTCCATGTATTCGTGGTTCATTGGGTTCTTTCCCTTTCCAGAAAACGCGTGTAGTTTTCTTCACTAGAGGGTAGCCTGGTTCCTTGGAGGGTCACAATGCTCACGTTGAATCCTGGCAGCTATGTCCTGTCTATGATGGTAGTCTTCCTGGAGTCTTGTACCTGTGCAAGGTCGTCTGAGGCACGTGTAACGTAACGCTCTTCTGGCATACAAGAACTCCCCCAGTGAGAAAACGCTCGCAGCAGTTAGAACTGCACAGACCAACGCACAGAGGGTTGCATGACGATGTGCCAATGACTACTGTCTGCAACTGTGCGAGGACATCTAGCGTTCAGCTGAGTGCAGAAATGTCCGTGGTATGTTCGACTCGATCAAGAAGGCAGTTGGACCAGAAGTGAAGAAACCTACTCCTGAAGTCTGCAACAGGCGAGACAATCACCGACAGATGAAGCGATGGGTCAAACACGACTCAGAGCTGGTAATCAGCGATGCTACAGCCCCTGCACGACCTGCTTTGCCTGTGCTGGAGGGAAGGTGCAGGCCCCCAAGACGTGTGTGATGCCTCCATTGCGACTCTCTGCCAGAACAAAGGCGACCGCAGTGACTGCAACAACTACAGAGGGATCTCCCTGCTGAGCATAGGCGTGAAGGTATTCGCCCGCATCCTCCTCACCAGGCTCCAGACACTGGCTGCTCGAGTGTACCCACAGTCCCAGTGCGGCTTAAGCTCAGGCCGGTATTTTCTCTCTGCGCCAGCTTCAGGAGAAGTGCAGAGAGCAGGACAAGCCACTGTATCTGGAATTCATCGTTTTAACAAAGGCTTTAGGCCTTGTCAGCAGAAAGGGCCGTTTCTGTCTCCTGGACAAGATCGGCTGTTTTCCTCAGCTGCGCAGCATGGTGGTTTCCTCCAACGAGGACATGAAGAGCGCAGTTGTGTACGACGGGTCTTGCTCAGAACCCTTCTCCATCTACTCACACACTGAAGACGCCCTGTAGAGACTAGTGGACAAGTTCGCTCATGCCTGCAAAGAATTTGGACTCACGACCAGTCAAGATGCGTGACTATCAGGCCTGCGTCCTCAGCACTCTCCTGTACAGCGGCGAGACATGGACCACCTTATGCGAGGCAGAAACACTGTCTGAACACCTTCCACATACACTGCCCCAAACGCATTCTGGGCATCACCTAATGGAACTAATGGATTTATTGTGATTTGAAAACAAGGAAACAAAATCAGTCCGAAAACAGAAGGATACACTTCCAGCAGTCCGTGACATATAGAAAATGTTTGAATGTTCTTTACGACGGTACAACCTGAAATTGGTAACAATATTGAAAAAAGAAATTTCATAAGTACGATATCAGAAATTGTACAAATTTAGAAACATAGAAAACCCAAATTATCAATAAAACAGTTGAGCTCTAATTGTTGACTGTAGTGTCTGCATTGTTTCTTCTCTCTGTGAACTAGCAATTGCTGTACATAGGGCCTCATGCAAAGAATGCTTAGGGGGTAAAAGAATTAGGGTGTGACTGGGCTTCCTAGGCCCAGGGTAACAGGTATAAGCAGGCAAAAATGGTAGCAGGACAAGGGGTAATATGGCCTTTGGTTCAGCTGTGAAAATAGAACTATCGCCTGGTAATCTAGAACAGATTGTTCTGGATCCATCTGTAAATAAGGATTTGAATGTATTATTTTTAATTTTTAATTGATTATACTCTTGTTTATATTGTAATTCATTAGTTTCTGAGTTTTTAAATGCTGTCAGTGTTAGGTCAACTTGTTGCCTCACTAACTGCCAAGGAGGAGAAAAAAGAAGACGGGAAGGAGAGATATTTTCTAGCTCAATGCCAGCAGCAGAAATGAAAGGTTTGACTCTTAGTCCCAGAGGTGGAACAAGAGAAGACTTTGTGTTATACAGATCCTCATAAAGAGGATTGAAAACACAGTTAAATGCAGGATTAGACTCGTTAGAATGTAGTTTTATTATATACTGTAAGGATAATTTTATACGGCGTTGGTTAAGGGATGGCTCATCGGCCTCAACATAGAGACTGTCAACAGGAGAAGTTCTAAAAGACCCAAGACAAAGGCTTAGGCCTTGGTGGTGGACAGAATCAAGTAGTTTTAGGCTGCTTTTGCAGGCTCCACCATGTGCCTTAATCAAGTTTCGAGCGGACCAATGATCGATATAGGTGGAGGTGGGTAGCTTGATCCCCTCCCCACTTTGAGTTTGAAACAACTTTCAACAAATCGAGGGCTTTCATGCATTTGGCTTGCTACATGAGTCCAATATTCTCAAAATCACCTATGCGTTTCCTTTTTATTGAAGTTTTTCTTTTATATTGCTTATAGTCCAGTAGCTAAAAGCAATTTTCAGTCCTATCCTTGCATTTTAGGTCCCACAGTATTTTATTGCTGATTTTATAAGTTTAATATATGTAGATCATAAAACACCTTTTTTTTTTCAAAACCCTCAAGGGTGCCAAGGTGGCATCCGATAGTATATTCATCTTTTGTTGTCTGAGGGAATGAAATCATGCAAAAACTATTGTGGGACCTAAATTGCAAGGCCATGTCAACATTCTGCCGGACTATTACATATGCCAATCATCTTGATAAATTACACCACTGGTACGAATGAATTTTCACTCATGTGTTACAGGTATTTTTGGAACGTTATGTGTCGAAAGTCTCGGGTGTCGTCTCACCACTGTAATTGGAGGAGTACTTACTGCAATCGGTTATACGATCGGCAGTCAGATGAACAACATATACGTGCTGTATTTTACCCTCGGCATTCTTCCAGGTATGCATTGAAAAAACCCGTTTTATTAACTGCCGTGACTGAATTTGGTTTTACGCCGCTTTTTAGCAATATTCCAGCAACATCACGGCGGGGGACACCAGAAATGGGCTTAACACATTGTGCCCATGTGGGGAATCGAACCCGGGTCTTCGGCGTGACGAGCCAACGCTTTAACCACTAGGCTACCCCACCGCCCCTAACTGCCGTGAAAATGATGATGATAATGATGATGATGCCTTTGTTTAGTGGACCCTTGCTTGCTTTATCAGTCAATATCAATATTATCTAGTCCAGACGCGACTCTCTACAGGCTGTCGTCATATAACTGTGTAAACAATGTATTGCCCCTTGTAACGGTGAATAATGTACGGTCAAACTGAAGCCAACATATAAGTATACCGGGTACTTATTTTGACACAGGAATTGGTGTGTCCCTCGCTTACACCGCCGGTATGGTGCACCTCAACAGACAGTTTTCAAAATGGCGGCCAATAGCCGTTGGAATATCAGTAACAGGAACAGCTATAGGAATGCTGACTTGGCCGCTGCTCTCTGCTGCTGTCGCAGAGAATATGGGATGGACGGGTACATTTCTCATTAATGGGGCACTGACGATGAATTTCCTACCATGTGCCCTCTGGATAACTCCGAGGAACAGCAAAGGTGATACAACACGGCTCAATCCATTTGCTATTTATCCACTGTATCATAAGCAAGCATTCCCCAATTTTACAGAAAGAGTGAGATTTGAGGCTACAGCTTTTTGAGGTTTTTCTCGTTATTCAGCATGGAAGTGGGCCATAGGCCCATAACGCATGTGATTGGCACAACAACCAGAGCAGCAGTACGTATAACACACCCACATATGTAACCATACACAGGTACATTCGTGACCTCACGTTTTTTTCGAACAAGCCGAATAGCTACTCATGCCCGTTTGAAAGAATTTCATAATGGTGTATGGACATAGGGACTATTTCAAACAAGAACAATAACTCTATTTCCGAGTAATTCCAATAGTTACAAGTGCTGCGGCCTGGGATTTACCCTCTAAGTCAATGAGAATAAAGGCTGCGGGTGTGAGGTCAACTCGTTTATTCTGGGAGTCAGTAGACAGTAGATATCAGCAGATATCCGTTGACACTCTGTAACAATAGTATAATTATAAGTACAATTTAATTCAGGGGTTAAAATATAAACAATACATATTACATCACATTACATTACATAACATCAATAAGCATATGTTTACAGGTACATTACTATCTGTAATAATGCATACGTCATATGCTCATACCGTTAGAATTACACATACAAATATATGTTTCATACAAATGTTTTCACCAAATTATGATATAGTATCATGTAGTAAAGTACATGATACAAGGCAATAATACAAATATACAACAATAAGCAAATACATCACTTATGCATATATAATGAAATGGACTATAAGATGCGTACCCTGTGGGTGACACCTGAGTGTTGCTACCGGCGGTCAACCCTCCGCATACTACAGGATTGTGATACCTGAGCCAAGCAAATATAACACATGAAAATATATACATGTCACGTGACTGAGAATAGTTCAGACACAACTTATACAATAAATATAATTACAAGGAAAGGTTTACTTCACTGTGTGATATATATAAATATGCATGATCCAATCACACTTGTAATATAAAGTTATATATAAAATCATCACTCATACACACATTCTTGCATAAGAGTATTCATACATTTGCTAATTACACTATCATGAATACTTTGCTGAAAATGCTTACTTATGATACTTATTTATGTTATTTATGCATTAATGAAACTATATAGCAATAATGTACTATAATTTCTAACCTTAGAAGTAGCTTATTTACTATGTTTATTTGCTGTCACATCAAGTGCTGGTGACAAGTGCTGAGCACATCAGGTGAGGGTGACAAGTGCTGTGTAAGTGAAAAATGGCTGATGACCTATGATTTGAAATAAGCCAATCCCAATCAACCAGTTGATCATTACAATAGGTAAGTTTAATAATGTTTTTTTCCAGCAGTAATAAGTCCCGAAAGAGAAGTAGAAGAATGATTTTAAATATATCTCAAAGTGAAGAATCCTCAAAGGTGGTTAAAGTACTGTAAAATTATTGTACGTAAGTCATAAAACAATAAAAGTAAATATAATCTTACAACTGTTTTAGTCGTAGAATATATGCACTTTTAATCTATGGCTAGATTTGTCTAAATTGCTAATGGTTCAAGAGATGTAGCATAAGTTATATTTGGGATGGTGTAAATCCAGCTAGGGTCCATGCAGGAAAAAAATGCATTCACCGTGTGGTGATCTGCTTTCAGTTGTTGGCTTTCTGTAGCCTGTTGTATATTGTGTTGTGTTTATAGTATGAAAGTATTAGATTTACAAACTAGTTATACCTTCATATCTGTGATCTTCTAGCGGTTTTTACTGTCCTTTGTTGACAGTTTTTTTATAATTCAACTCTGTATTTGACATGTATTTAGAACTTGACTTAGTCACGATATGGCGGAAATATTGCCGATGTGACATTAAATATTAACTCACTCACTTGTAGATGGATACATTTGTTAACGGCTGAAGGGATGTAGCATATGTTATATTTGGCATGGTGTAAATCTAACTAGGGTCCATGCAGGAGACAAATGTACTTTAAGGCCCCATGGTCCCTAGTATGGTGATCTACTTCCTATAGACTGTTTTTTAGTTGTATTGTCTTCTATAGTTAAAAGGTTTAAGATTTTTTTATATCTGCATGTATATCTGTGATCCTCTATTTGTTTTACTGTCCTTCGTTGACAGGGTTTTATAATTTGACTTTATTTATTATTACTATTATTATGTTTTACAGATTAAAGATTGTATGCAGCAGAGAGGGTTCGGGTGATCCTGGCACAGTCAGGCTGGTAAGGCTCATCATCAGCTCAGGGCCTTTGCCCCCTCTACACGCAGCCCAGACAGCGAATGGGACTTCTCCCAGGAAACGCTGCCTAGTCGAACCCACCAAGAACTTTCCGGAGAATATGAAGGCTCCCCAACACTGCAGCCTTCTGCATTACCCAGAGTGTCAGAAGGGCTGTACTCCCGGTGGAGAACCCGGGCACTCTCCTGATCTGCGCCAAGAGATCAGGAGGTACCAAACCAAGGGCACCGAGAACAATGGGGAGCCTGGCGACACTGTACTTGGGATGCAAGCGAGACATTTCAAAGGCGAGGTCCGCATATTTATCATGCTTTTCCTGAATCTTGCCAATCACATTGGTGTCAAAAGGGACAGAAAATTCAATGATATAAATACATTCATTGGCTTTATCAAAAAGGACTTATTGTTATATATATATATATATATATATATATATATATATATATATATATATATATATATATATATATATAACTTGTTTTAGTCACGATATGGCTGAAATACTGCCGATGTGACTAAAATTCTTAACTCACTCACTCACTCACTCACTCACTCACTCACTCAAAGTGAAGAATTCGAGGATAGGAATACACACAAACCAAAAAGCCGATCTTATTGATGTTATTACTCTTGGATTTGCCTAAGTTCTTGATAAATATAAAGTACGAGTGATGCTTCTGGAGACCAATGTTAAAGGCACTCGTGAAGAGCAACCTCCTCATGGTGAGTGCTGGGTATAGCTAATAGCTCTTCCCCTGTGTGGACCTAGGGTAGAATAAGTCCCCAGCGCCACATTGTTGTGGTAAGAGGCAAGATCGAATTGGGCAACCTGTTTGCCGTGTTTTGCGCCTGTGTGTTGGTGGACGATGGGCTCACGTCAAGAGCATGTTCCTTTTGCCCAACACACCACTCTACACTTACTTCACTTAGACGGGCGGTGGAATGGTCCCGGTTCTATCAATCGGCTGGTCACGGTAAGTCCTGTGCAAACAGTGTGCACATTTTCATAATTGGGTCTTGGTCGTTACAATTTTCAATGTACAAATTATTAATATATTTAATCGCCCGAGGCCTATGCCAGAAGGCGTTGGCTCACTGGCCAATCTTGTGATGTTGACCTCAGAATAATATATGTCTCCGATTTATTGTCAAGGGCCGAACCAGTCAAGTATTGAGTTTATAGACAAATACAGCTATTCATGTCACATTATCTGGAGTATAACACCTCTGTATCCCTGGTGTCAGCATCTTGAATATCCGATGCAATTTTCCTTGTTGACTCTTCATGGTGGGTGGGGAGCAGGGGGGCTGAAGCATTTCCTTTCATCATGGATCCAAAACAACCTGGTTCATCTTGAAATGAAAAGAAGAGACGTTCGGAGGATGTAGATCCCTCTATTGGATTTGTTTTTCAAAACGTGACTCCTGGGCTAGAGTCCACTTAGACTTTGATATCGCAAGCAGGTGAAGTTTATCTCTGGAATTTGCCAAGAAGTCAAGAACGTTACTCGTCTCCGTAGTGGCTCGCTTCTTGTGGAATGTGCACTTGGACGGCAATCTCTCAATCTGATGACCTTTGCCAATATTGAGATTGCTATGTCTGTGCACAGAACGCTGAACTCTTGTCGTGGCATCATCCGACACAGAGCACTTTGATAGCACACATATTGCTTCATCAAGAATACAGATAATCACAGTATTGTCTTATATTAATGTTATCACGCCTTCTCTCCTGCGGGAGATAAAGCAACTGGAGGTGCTTCTGTTTTGGAGCATCAGAGCATCATTCATACCCTCTCTCTACATACAAATCTTCAAACTGTTGTTGTCCGTTTGACTCTGCACATTGCACCAACTCTCTGAAGCTTGTATATCCTCCTTCTAATAATCCACAATCAAATGTTCAAAATCTGTATGATCAGCTTCCAAAGTCACGCACCGTCATGGACGATCTGAATGGACACAACCCGCTTTGGAGGAAGTGCCCATACTAATAGGAATTCATTTCAGATAATACGATATGATTATTTAATGATGATCCAACCACCTCTTTACTGGAACATATTCTACCCTAGATCTGGCACTCGCTGATTCCAAGTTTTATAACCCAATTAAATATCACCGTTTTTAACAAGACAGTATTTTGTCTGTCACGTTAAATAGTATCAAATATATAGTCTTTCAAGGGTTTTAAGCGATTCAGTTGATTTCAGTTCCCCTTTCGTGGATGGTTTTAATATTTCTTCTTGTGGCAATTTACAAAATTGACTAAAAACTTCAAGCAATTTACACATTGCCTGATTTTACACATTTACCGTAACATCGAAACTTGATTACGGCTCCATCGTACATGGTGGGGCCTGTAAAAGCAATCTCAAACTACTTGATTCTGTCCACCACCAAGGTCTAAGATGTCATCTTAGATCTTTCAGAATATCTCCTATTGACAGTCTTTACGTTGAGACCGATGAACCTTCTTTAAAACATCTCTCAAATTATCTTTACAATATATCACAAAGCTATATTCTAATCAGTCAAACCCTGTTTACAATTGTATTTTAATCCTCTTTATGAGGATCTGTACAATGAAAAATCATCTCTTTTTCAGCCTCCAGAAATGAGTCCTGCTTTCTTACTTCTCCTTCTTGGCAATTAGTGAGGCCACAAGTAGACAAACACTGACAACGCTCAAGAAATCAGAAACTAATTAATTACTGTGTAGACAAAAATTTAACCAATTAAAAAGTATATATAATACACATAAATCCTTATTTACAGATGGGTCCAAGGATGGTGACACAGTGGCTTGTGCCGCTGTCATTGGGTCTAGAACAATATCTTCCAGATTACCAGATGACAGTTCTATTTTCACAGCGGAAACAAACGCAATACTAACATCCTAAGTATAAACAATATATAATCTTTTCAGACTCCTTTTCTTGTCTTCAGGCTATAAAAAATACCTCTTGTAAACATCCACTTTTACTCGAAATAATTGAATTGTATCTCGATCTTGCTTCTGACTAATACGACATCATCCTCTCTTGGTTACCCAGCCACTTTGGCAATTCTGGTAACACAATAGCTGATCTTAATGGTAAGGCAGCACTCAACAAATCTGTGACACCACTTCTTATTCCATACACTGATGGAAGCCAACATTAGATCTTATAATCCGTGATCTGATGCAAAAGAAGTGGGACACACTCGTAGATGTCAATAAATTATATCAAAACCAATTATCGGTTACACCTACTTGGCCAGTCAGTCCAGAATTTAAGAGGTCATTATGCGACGATGACGCATTGGCCATTCTTGGTATATATTTGCTGAAAGGTGCAGATCCTCCGCTTTGTATCCCTTGTGATGAGAGAATCACGGTCAATCATTTTCCATCACATGGGATAAGTATTTCATGGACATGTTGACTTAGTCACGGTATGGCACAAATATTGCTGATGTGACTTTGAATTTAACTCACTCACTTGTAGATGGATACATTTGTTATTATTGGTAGTTAACATTAGAAACTGAGATTGTTGGTGGCTGTCTTCTCAAAGGGGGGTTAAAGTATTGTAAACTGATTGCCCTCCTGAGACGATGCGTCAGTCCTGAAACATTCAAAGAAAATTTAGACCTACGATATTTTTTAATCGTAGGATATGAGTGATTTTAATTTATGGCTTTGTATCCTGTCGCTAGTATATCTACCTTCAGATGCTGGCAATCTATATCCCTTTTTATATTGTATTGTTCAAAATAGAAAACAAATTTTAAAGATAGATACTAGTTTTAAATTCCTAGCTGTGACATTCTAGTTGTTTTACTGTCTTTCGTCGACAGGTTTTTCTAATTTAACAGTGTTTATCGTGAATTAAAATCTTAACTCACTCACTCAAATGCTATGTCAACATGGCCACATGGGCTGCAATGCTATCGTCATCCTGTCCTGACGTCATCATCAATCAGGTCAGTATCAAAATGAGAACGCTGTAAATTTACAACCGAATTAGCACTTGCTGTAATTGTTCATGATTTCTTTTCAGGAGATGTTCATTGTCCAAGAGTTTCCTTGAAGGAAACTATTATCAACTGTTTCAAAATACATCGTTTGCCGGGAGCACTTGCTTTCTGCATTGCTCTATTGCCCTACGGCTTTGGCTACTTCACTTTCCCAACCTTTCTTCCTGACTACGTGACAGCATCACCATTCAACATGACGTCATCGGAAGCTGCGCTCATTGTTTCGTCTTCTGGATATGGCAGCATGTTTGGGCGTGTTTTTTTCTGTGGAATAGCCATGGTGAATAAACATTCAACAAAATACATATTGTTATTTTCGGGATGCCTCTGTGGTATCTCCAACCTGATTGTCCCACTCTGTGACGGTCCCGCCACTCTCCATATCAGCAGCGCTGTAAATGGACTGGCTATAGGTGAGCTGGTTTCCAGCAGATTATAAGACAGTCAGTACCTATGAACGTTAAACAAGCTTATTACCAACGTTCTCTATCATTTGAGTATTTACTTTCTTTCATATTTCAGGAGGTTGGATGGGCGTTTTAATGCTAGTGGCTGTGGAACTGTTTGGTGTTAATAATTTGTCAAGAGTATTTGGCATGAACATGATGTGTGAAGGAGTGGGGTCATTGGTAGGACCACCATTACAAAGTAAGTTTTAAGTTTTAATCCTAGTAAATATGTTGAAATCTCCATCAAGCCAGTTACTGAATAAATGTTGCTTAAACGCTAAAGTCAACAACATGATATAGTTGATGACCCAGTTGAGGAGCTGCCACCTGCTGATAGGAATACACATAAATAGTGTGCTACTGGAATACACATAAATAGTGTGCCACTGGAATACACATAAATAGTGTGCCACTGGAATACACATAAATAGTGTGCCACTGGAATACACATAAATAGTGTGCCACTGGAATACACATAAATAGTGTGACACTGGAATACATCTAAACAGTGTGACACTGGAATACACATAAATAGTGTGCCACTGGAATACACATAAATAGTGTGCCACTGGAATACACATAAATAGTGTGCCACTGGAATACATCTAAACAGTGTGACACTGGAATACATCTAAACAGTGTGACACTGGAATACACATAAATAGTGTGCCACTGGAATACATCTAAACAGTGTGACACTGGAATACACATAAATAGTGTGCCACTGGAATACACATAAATAGTGTGCCACTGGAATACACATAAATAGTGTGCCACTGGAATACACATAAAACAGTGTGACACTGGAATACACATAAATAGTGTGCCACTGGAATACACATAAATAGTGTGCCACTGGAATACACATAAATAGTGTGCCACTGGAATACATCTAAACAGTGTGACACTGGAATACACATAAATAGTGTGCCACTGGAATACACATAAATAGTGTGCCACTGGAATACATCTAAACAGTGTGCCACTGGAATACACATAAATAGTGTGCCACTGGAATACACATAAATAGTGTGCCACTGGAATACACATAAATAGTGTGACACTGGAATACACATAAACAGTGTAACACTGGAATACACATAAATAGTGTGACACTGGAATACACATAAATAGTGTGCCACTGGAATACACATAAATAGTGTGCCACTGGAATACACATAAATAGTGTGACACTGGAATACACATAAATAGTGTGACACTGGAATACACATAAATAGTGTGCCACTGGAATACACATAAATAGTGTGCCACTGGAATACATCTAAACAGTGTGACACTGGAATACACATAAATAGTGTGCCACTGGAATACACATAAATAGTGTGCCACTGGAATACACATAAATAGTGTGCCACTGGAATACATCTAAACAGTGTGACACTGGAATACATCTAAACAGTGTGACACTGGAATACACATAAATAGTGTGCCACTGGAATACATCTAAACAGTGTGACACTGGAATACACATAAATAGTGTGCCACTGGAATACACATAAATAGTGTGACACTGGAATACACATAAATAGTGTGCCACTGGAATACACATAAATAGTGTGCCACTGGAATACATCTAAACAGTGTGACACTGGAATACACATAAATAGTGTGCCACTGGAATACACATAAATAGTGTGCCACTGGAATACACATAAATAGTGTGCCACTGGAATACATCTAAACAGTGTGACACTGGAATACACATAAATAGTGTGACACTGGAATACACATAAATAGTGTGCCACTGGAATACATCTAAACAGTGTGCCACTGGAATACACATAAATAGTGTGACACTGGAATACACATAAATAGTGTGCCACTGGAATACACATAAATAGTGTGACACTGGAATACACATAAACAGTGTGACACTGGAATACACATAAATAGTGTGACACTGGAAACAGTACACAACAATATGGTGTGACACTGGAATACACATAAAACAGTGTGACACTGGAATACACATAAACAGTGGACACTGGAATACACATAAATAGTGTGACACTGGAATACACATAAACAGTGTGCCACTGGAATACACATAAACAGTGACGCTGGAATACATATAAAAAGTGTGACACTGGAATGCACATAAATAGTGTGACACTGGAATACACATAATACACATAAACAGTGTGATACTGGAATACACATAAACAGTGTGACTCTGGAATACACATAAATAGTGTGACACTGGAATACACATAAATAGTTTGACACTGGAATACACATAAATAGTGTGACACTGGAATACGCATAAACAGTGACGCTGGAATACACATAAATAGTGTGACACTGGAATACATATACAAAGTGTGACACTGGAAAGCACATAAATAGTGTGCCACTGGAATACACATAAATAGTGTGACACTGGAATACACATAAATAGTGTGCCACTGGAATACATCTAAACATTGTGACACTGGAATACACATAAATAGTGTGCCACTGGAATACACATAAATAGTGTGCCACTGGAATACATCTAAACAGTGTGCCACTGGAATACACATAAATAGTGTGCCACTGGAATACACATAAATAGTGTGCCACTGGAATACACATAAATAGTGTGACACTGGAATACACATAAACAGTGTGACACTGGAATACACATAAATAGTGTGACACTGGAATACACATAAATAGTGTGACACTGGAATACACATAAACAGTGTGACACTGGAATACACATAAACAGTGGCACTGGAATACACATAAATAGTATGACACTGGAATACACATAAATAGTGTGACACTGGAATACACATAAACAGTGTGCCACTGGAATACGCATAAACAGTGACGCTGGAATACATATAAAAAGTGTGACACTGGAATGCACATAAATAGTGTGACACTGGAATACACATAATACACATAAACAGTGTGATACTGGAATACACATAAACAGTGTGACTCTGGAATACACATAAATAGTGTGACACTGGAATACACATAAATAGTGTGACACTGGAATACACATAAATAGTGTGACACTGGAATACGCATAAACAGTGACGCTGGAATACACATAAATAGTGTGACACTGGAATACATATAAAAAGTGTGACACTGGAATACATAAATAGTGTGACACTGGAATACACATAAACAGTGGCACTGGAATACACATAAACAGTGTGACACTGGAATACACATAAATAGTGTGACACTGGAATACACATAAACAGTGTGACACTGGAATACGCATAAACAGTGACGCTGGAATACACATAAACAGTGTGACACTGACACATAAATAAATACACTGACACTGGAATACACATAAACAGTGTGCCACTGGAATACACATAAACAGTGTGACACTAAATAGTGAATACACATAAATAGTGACACTGGAATACACACAGTGTGACACTGGAATACACATAAACAGTGTGACACTGGAATACACATAAATAGTGACACTGGAATACACATAAAGTGTGACACTGTGTGACACTGGAATACACATAATACACATAAACAGTGTGACACTGGAATACACATAAATAGTGTGACACTGGAATGCACATAAATAGTGTGACACTGGAATACGCATAAACAGTGACGCTGGAATACACATAAACAGTGTGGCACTTGAATACACATAAATAGTGACACTGGAATACACATAAAGAGTGTGCCACTGGAATACACATAAACAGTGTGACACTTGAATACACATAAATAGTGACACTGGAATACACATAAACAGTGTGACACTGGAATACACATAAACAGTGTGACACTGGAATACACATAAATAGTGTGACACTGGAATACACATAAATAGTGACACTGGAATACACATAAACAGTGTGACACTGGAATACACATAAACAGTGTGACACTGGAATACACATAAACAGTGTGACACTGGAATACACATAAACAGTGTGACACTGGAATACACATAAACAGTGTGACACTGGAATACACATAAACAGTGTGACACTGGAATACACATAAACAGTGTGACACTGGAATACACATAAATAGTGTGACACTGGAATACACATAAATAGTGTGACACTGGAATACACATAAACAGTGTGACACTGGAATACACATAAACAGTGTGACACTGGAATACACATAAATAGTGTGACACTGGAATACACATAAACAGTGTGACACTGGAATACACATAAATAGTGTGACACTGGAATACCCATAAATAGTGTTACACTTCCTGGGAGGTACGGTAAAGGGTAGTTGTAACTAAAGCTGAGGAAGGGCACTTTGCCGTGACTGTTGGTGACATATTTTGTATATTTCAGGTTACCTAGCAACGATATTTGGGAAGGAAACCCCATTTTACACCGCTGGAATAGCTCTCGCCGTGTCAACAAGTTGTATTATTGTATCGATAATACAAACGCGGAAGACATCTTGTACTTTAGGAGGGCTACCTACAGAGACTGTGACTGCTGGTGTCGATAACGTGGGTTTCAGTCCAGACAAACCTACGTACTGAAGTGACGATACCTTCAGTGTATATTGGTGTGTGGTGAATCTCTGTGCCGTTGCATGTAGCGGCCTAAGCTAAAAAAATTAAACACATCCGTGATGTTGCCTCGATAAAGAATACAACATATAATATAGCCGCGAGCAATGTCATAGGGTTGCAAGCTTATTCTTTCTTCAGTCATTGTCGGTTGAGACAGAGTTCCATTTGCATGATCTCACATTTAGTTTATAAAAATACCACAGCAATAATACAATGTCATTCGTCGTGCAGCAGAAGGTGTTAGTGTTTAAGTAGTCGAACTTCATCGAACCGGTTTCAGCACAATCGTGTTCCTACTACCACCACACAAAATGACTGCATTACCCAAATTTACAAACGTCAGGAAATACTCGTTTCATCCGGCGGCCATATGAACAACGTTTGAAATCTACGTATCATCTGGCCGTCAGATTTACACACGTTTAAAAGGGTGTTAAAATAAACGAACATTCGACTCTGCATTTACATGTATTTCACAGGTGTGTAAATCTGGCCATTGTTTCCATGTGTTTCCTAACATGTGTAACATATGTAAATGCTGTGATTGTAGGACATGCATTTCAATACCCTTGAAATCTCGTATGACCAGGGTTAGGTTTGTCATATATTTTGTACATGCGTAAATGGTTGGAAATGAGTAAGTATAGTGTTACAGGATTAGCACTACTTTAACATGTATTTCAATGGTGCTGTAATGTAACTCTCACATAGGGTTCGTTAGCGCGTCCGACCACGCCATAATGTACTGAGATAATTAGTAACACATGGTGAAGTGATACCCATGACTGAGCACCACTAATAACGTACGTGTCTTTCTTGACATACACATGGTGTCTGTTTAAAAGGTTCAAATATCGGGTCTATGGGCCAGAGCGATGTGTATGTTAGGGAGTGTGTGTGTGTGTGTGTGCGAGGGAGAGGGTGTGGCATGGGGTAGGCCTAGGGTGGGTTGGTGGCGGTGGCGGTGGTCGGTGTTGGGGTACTGATAAGTCTTTCTGACCAATAGGTAATATCATTTATACTTTTTGTAATGAAAAATTACATAACAGTTTAAATAACTGACCTTAGGTACACTTCTTATATATGCTATACTAGGAGACACTGCTAATTACAATAAAACACAGACAGATGTGTTCACACAGACATGAACCGGTAGGTCCCTAATTTTAGTGCTCACTTGTATGAGTTATCCGACTGATCATAACTGAACAAATTTCATTATCTATACTTTCATAAAAGATGATGACAATGTATTAATGATTCTCGGTGTAAATTACTGTTGTAAATGTGTGAACATGCACATACTTGGTGTGACCTCTTTTTGATTCGGAATACAGGTATTATTCCATACGGACGTTTTCTCAAATTTCAGTTACCCGACGGAATATACTGTAGACATATTTTGTTTCCACCTCTTGGGTAGACTAAAGAAAATTGTAGTGATTGCAATTAGCTCATAATTTTCATATTAGACCTATTTTGTTTCCATCTGTTGCGCAGACTATAGGAAATTGTAGTGATTGCAATTAGCTCATAACTAAGCAGTTTCGATAATTGTTGAAAGCTTACTACCTGACAGCATTATGTTGCTCATGCGTTTTCTTTTTTGCTTTTGCTTTTGCTGTCTAATTTGTTATACATTATATAATCATGTTAATCATTTTGGTATCTCAATATCATGGAATATAATATGTACTTATTAATCTATCAAAGTACCGAAACGTATTATCTGTATGCTTTACTGTTATTGGGTGAAACTGTTAAAAGTACCTTCGTACAGAATTTCGTGGAAACAGAAAATGAAAATTACTAGATCAATGGAAAATTAAATTGGATAAAGATCGCAAACAATCATTATTTATATTCCTCTTTTTAAATTATCAGTGTGCAGATCATGTCACTAACATAAAAACTGAAGGATATATGGTGACAAAACTGGGTTCAATCTTGAATGTATAATAAATGTACCAACAGTATCAAGGAATGATGGGGTACGGTCGTGGCTAAAGCGTTCGATTGTCAGGTTAAAAACCGGTGTTTGATTCCCGACAAAGGCACATTAAGACTGAAAATATATTATTTTGATAAAAGGCAAAGATCTTAATTTCAATTGAAAAAAGAGACGAAGTAATTTGGACTAACAACATCTATATTTGGGGCTACAGGTGCAGGAAGCATCTTCAATTATAAAATCACATTTCACAAATATCAGATAAAGGTTTAAATGACAAGCATATTTATTGGTATCTTGCCAAGCTCTGTCCTCTCCCAATGCAGTATAACCAGAGTGCTGTGGTCACTACCTCCGGTGGCCAAATTCAGCAATCCCATTACTTTACAGTATTTTCTTACAGGCATATATTCGAAAGTTAACTTTTACGGGTATGGAAAGAGGGAGGACACGTGCAAAGTATTAGTACGTTGATATTATCCTTCAAAAACATCATATGTACAACAATCACTTATCATTATGGCATTACAAAAAGGCCATATTTCCAGACAGCATAACATCACCATTGGCTGGAGTTCCAAATAATTTGACACCGAAAGCCTGTCAGTTAACCCAAAAGATATAACCCTTGTGTTTTAAAGTGATAGGCACAATGAAGTGTAGGTTGCCATGCATTTTATAGTCTGTCTCACAGTCCCTGAACCACATTATTTCCCCTACTGCCAAGCCCTCTGTGCAATGCTAAAGCCTTAAATGAAGCAAGTCTAGATCTCCTCAGGTCCAGGGTATGTTAACATCAGCAAGAACCCTAACTCACTTTGGGGGTCGGGTTACAAAGTAAACATATCTATAGCTAACTGCAGCCGTGGCTAGCCAGACTGAATCTCGTGTCTCCCTGGGGCTCAATTTAATTGGGCTTGTTTGTTACTATCAAAATTATATATATTCAGACACTAAGCGTTAGTCTATGTATTTTCCGATATGATGGAAATACTAATATTGACCAGATAAAATTCTAAAGGAGCCTTTCTTAAAGCAGTGACTTAACGCCATACATAGCTAGACTTGCTTAGATGATAGACTTCATATAAGACCCTTAGCCTCATTAGCTTATTGCCTCACCACTTGCGAATTAAGCGTTGGCAGATGTAAATGTTACTGGAGATGTTGGTCCCGCCAGCTGTGGGTGTTCGGTATGGCTCTCCATAACCCGAACCCTGCAGTGAGTTTTCCTAGAGACGGAAGGGGAGAAAATATCGTTCTGTGACTATGGAAAACCAAAAATGTGGACAACACACCATTGTTTGGGTCTTTTAATTGTAAATATGATTCAACTAGCTTAACCTAGATTTCGATATCCTCCGAATGTACATTTGGTGGAAAATATACATTTATCCCGAGACAAGGACGAATGTTTATATATCATTAAAAAATGTAGCAGCACTAGTATCCATTTTGTCTTTTGTCTTCTACCCGTCAGAACTAGATTAACAACTAGTCTCTGATATGAACATATTTTACAGAAAAAAAGTTGATAGTAAAAAAAGAATATTATATAAGGAAAAGGAGCCCTGAGACTTTCTCCTGAAGCTGTGAAAATCTAGACTTGCCACATTTTGTAGACTTGCGTGGGCTTGGATATATTTGCTTCAGGGTCTGTATGACAGACGACGTCCCAACACACGCTCAATCACATGTGTCTCCAGGTCGGACGGAAGTCTTACCACCATGGAAATTCAAGTGTGATTTCCTCATATACAAATACGTTTGGACATATTTTATACATGTCAGCTGCATTGATACAATACCATACATCGAGTATTTGGTGTTTTTCTAAAATAATTGATAAACAAATGATAAATAAACAACTGCATTTCAGTGATGATTCACATATAATCATGACTGTAACAAAACATCCTTATACATGTCGATGGAAAAACAATCATCACTGAAAGCTATGATATGAAGAATAACCTGTTTACTGTAATTTACTGTAAATTATTTTTAGCAAAGATCATGTGAATGCTCGAGCTGTTTTTATAATGGTAGCTACGCCCCTGTTTGCATGTGTTGTTGACGCGGCATGGACTGCTTGTAACATCACTATTTGATTATGATTCACAAACACATGCCCACGATATGGTCGGAATCGTGCCACGGATTAGCAGATACTTATCATGAAAACAGGTTTTTATGTAGGTGACTTGAAACTCGCTTTTACAAAGGCCTATAGGTTCGATCACAATACATTTCGTTTTACAGCTTCTCTTTTCTTAATATGCTCACGTCAAAACTGATTTAAATTCTAATCACAGATTAAAGAACAACACAATAAATAGTATGCCAAATTATCGTTACCATGACAACCCTGTGATATTTCACCTTATGTAAGAGAGTAATGCAGATGATACTGTCGGCTGTAAATTTTGATAAGTTGCTTCATCGCTATCAATAAACACTGGGTATCTATACAATTATATGTGTGATCAAAGGCCATATGATCGATTATGTGGTCTCTGGTGTGATGGAGGAGAACCTGCGTCGCTAGTTTTCTCGATAATCTGAACACATGTATGTAGAGTGAAACCGGCAGATACTTTAGAATAAAGTGTTTGCCCTACCTGTAACAACGATGTCCCGTGTCTATAAAAGGGATATAATGTGGAGATGAATGACATGTACTTTTATCTTGGCCCGTTTATGATGATACATACTGCGATCTTTCACAATAATCCCTCTGGCTATCAGATTGAAGGTGCGTTTTAAACATAACCGGTATTTCTATTATTGTATTTATAAAGTTCTTCGAACGTTCTCCATATACGTCCGTCATATACATCGCGCACTACCCTTTTCTCTTTTGATCTTCTCAAACGACTGTTACAAGTTCGAAGAATCTTGGTCAAAGTAGAAAAGTCTTAAGACTATTCCCTACAATTCTGTAACTTACACATTGTACCCTAAATGGGTAGAACTTTCGTTCGGGGGGAATATCAGAAGGACAACGATAGAGTTATTTCCAATGTTGTAGAAAGATCTCCACTTACTTAGGAAAACACTGAGATATTGTATTCATGTCGGAATGATATTTTCAGCCCCTGTCAGATCAGAACCTGAACATGCGATGTCCGCGTCTGTG